GACATTTTTGAGCATTCGACCTTTTGAGGCCCCATAATATGACACGAGGCTCAGGGCCTGTGTACAATGCATACCCAGGCACTAGGATTTTACGGCACTGTATATAGTATATGCAAGGCCGTAACTGGAGGGGTCCAGGGGTCCGGACTCCCCCCCCCCCGAAATTTTCAAAAGTAGAAACATTTCAGCGGTGAATATAACTATATTAACTATAAATTGTATTAAGTAATAATGTTAGACTCCCCCCCTCCGAAATTGTTTTCCAGTTACGGCCTTGAGTATATGAACATCATAATATAAATTTATTAACATTACGTTTTCTCTAGTATTGTCGTATATTAATATTTATTATTTCAAGAATATCATTTAACGTTATAGTAATATTTTTATATATTAATAATATTGTTTTGCGTTTCAAGAAACAAGTACATATCCAAAAGGTACATAGGTAATGATAAAATAATGTCAATGTAATAATGTAATCATTGTAATTACATTGTAATGACAAAATTAGCAGCGAACAGTAGAGCGAGCGTAGGATTTGTTTTTGCTAATAACATTTCTAAGGATGGTTGGCATTTTGTAGAAGGAACTCAATGCACACACACATATCAGCAATACAATTTGTACAACACTTTTAATAGTATATTTGTAGGTCGATACAGATAAAATAGGTACAGGACCATATTTACTGTCGATGTATAATCTGTATTCGTTTTGATTTGTTTAATTGTTGATAGTATTTCCACGAAACATACTCCTGCATCGGTGGCAGAGGATAGGCACTGTGAAATAACTTTGCTTTGCATAATTTCACTGCGCTCGATGGGAATACAACAATCAACCCGTCGTGAACTTGTGTATTTAACAACTGAAAGACAACACTTTATTTAAATATGGAGGGAAGCGGTTGAATTTAATACTTGTTTTTGTATGAATTCTGTTACTATGCTACTGTGAAATTTAATAGGCAAGATGAAGGCGTGAACGCGCAGCAGTGAAATCTAGTCTTCTACCGTACGCGTAATAATACAAATATACAATATAAAGTTAACATGGTACAATAGTCTTGATTTTATCTTCGAACTGCACGCGATTACTAATTATGATACTTAGCTACCATGAAGACATGGGCGTGTTTACAGTGGCTACACTACCTGTACTACAGTTTTTTTAAAGGCGCCAGCCGATCGAGTTTCGATGCGCGATGGGCTATGACCAGGACTGCGAATGCACTTAAATACTATAAGCTGTAAGTGCAATAACTATGTATTAAATAGTGACGAATTATGATTTTAAGAATATAACTTTTATTTAAATATACAAGTTATAACTTTTGATTTTTAGTTTTGAAAAAAATGTCGTTAAGGTATCACCAGTAATTTAGTTACGTTGCTTTTAAGGATTGCCACGCCAATATATAAAACCGTTTACCTACGGACGACCTTTGATTTAAGAGAGAAAAGGGTGGATATATGAAACTTGAAAAACGTCAGAAATATACTAAATACATACTAAGAATTATCTGATTTATATTAATATTGTTGAAGTAATGCCACTGATTGGTATTTATTTTTATATAACTTCCAAATCCCTTCAGATAAGTAAAAAATAAAATAAAATGTTTTAAAGAAAAAGAAAAAAACTATAGTAATTTGTTACTGGTATACTTGTTTAAAGTATTTTATTGTAATTTCTATGTGACATGACCTTAGATTAAAATGATTGAGAACAATTATATTATCAGTGAAGTTGTAGGTTATTGTGAGTTTTTATTATATTTACGAATTGTTATTGGTTACATTAATACTTAAATTTTAACTATTATCAAAGACAACGATAAGATAAAATTAATAAAACAAATATGGTTATGAAAATGAAAATTCTTACTTGTTAGAATTGATCAATATAAATATTAGAAAATAAATTTTATTTTAAGTAATTTGTGTTTATATAATTAAAAAAATAAATAAAATAGCACTCTTTAACTATTGTCATAACATTTGAGTACAACTTACAAATATTATGCTTTAAAAATAGCATGGACATTAAATATGTCACTTAATTTCTGAGGCAATTACATTTATTTTATTTAATAACATTAATTACATTATATTTAACATAAATTCACTATAAATGTATAAAATGTATTAAAATTAAAGTTATTTGATATGCCATAAACTATCACCTGTTATTCTTAATCAGTAAAAATAATATTATTTGATACAATAAAAATTGTATTTGTATGGTCATTTTTATTTTGCCTAAATAAAATTATTGTTACATTGGTTTAATATTAATTTAACACAAAATATCAAAATATTTAATGAACATTTTTAATAATAAATTAAAATAATAACTATATAGAGTGAAATTATATAATTACTTAGTCATATTTAAGTATTTTAGTGATTTTAACTAAAAAATACAATATATTTTAAATATACATAATACATACTACAGTACTATATAATACATATTCAAAATAAAATGCTATATTTTAATTTTTTAACTATATTATAATTACAAAAACAATCAAAAACAATGCAAATTTAAATTATAACAAATTCTAAATTAATTTAATTTATTAATTAAGCAATAATATTTATTTATAAAAAAATATTTCTGGATTAATATTTGTTAATTCCCATATTTTTTATTTTTTTTTTATGTGTGAACAAATGCGATTTATACCAACATTTTATTTACTACTTATTCTTAATTCATGACCAAAGTCATAGGCGTGCGCAGGGGGTATGTAGGGTATGCAACTGCATACCCTAAACATAAGAGCCTTCTTTCTAAAATTAAAAAAAATAAATAAAAATTATGACATATTTGATTTTATATATATTATGTGATTTTTATTATATTTTTATATTCAGTCCCAGACAGTTCAATTTATTTTTAAAACACAAATCATATGCTATAATAACGATTTAATGTGTTAATAAAATTAAGAAGTACAATAATTCAAGCGAGATTAAATAGCTATCAACTACAGAACAAGAAATGGCTATAAATTAAAAACCCGGAAACATTATTGGTGATATTAAGAACTCAACTGTACGCAGAATCGTTTTATGATTAATTTTAATTATTTATCAAATTTATTTTGTTTTTCATTTAAGTATATAATTACGTTTTTATTTATTTACCTTATTTAAACGTATTACTCAAACCATTTCAAGTGTTATGTATTTAATTTTTTTTTCGTAATTTATTTTAAATTTTAATTATGAAGACAGTTATAACGTTTAAGAAATGGCTGTTCAGTCACTTTTTCAGAAAAAAAATTAATATTTTAAATTAAATAGTTATTAAGACCAGAATTTCGAACGCTTAAATTAACTTTCAGTTTTAGGCAGTGGCGTATATAGGTTTTCATTTCGGAGAGGGCCGATTATGTATTGGATTTTTGGATGGAAAGGAAGGAGGAAGCACACTATTACGAAAAAAATTACTTTAACACTATAAGACTTCTCGACAGTCTTTACACCATCAGAAAAATAAGAAACTCAATTTTTTTAATGATTTATTATTTTTTAAAAGTATAAAAACTACATTGTAATAAACAATTTTTTTATCAGAGACACTCAAAATTCACCACATATTTTCTTAAAAGAATAAACATATTTTATAAATATAAAATTTTAAATTATCGCATAAGCAAGATTCTCAGTGTCACGACAAATTTTCGGAAACCCCCAGCATTAAGACATATCCATGTTAAAAATAACAATCTTTAACAATAGTGTTTTTCATTTCGGAGGAGGCCCGGGATTCTTCGCCCCCCCCCCCCATAAATACGCCCCTGGTTTTAGGGGAAGAAGTAGGCAGTGGCAGCCTTTTACATATCCTGAAAAAGAGGTCTGCGCACGCCTATGACCAAAGTACAAATGTAAGACATAATAAAACATTTTCTAAAAAATTAAATAATTACTGTATTAGTTACAAAAATAATTATCTTTTAATATATATGTTTATAAAAATATTTATTAAATTGTATGGGATTATTCCATATCTGCTATAGAAGCCAATTATAATTTTTATTCTAATCTTTTATTTTCAAAACCTTTCAGTAACAGAGATGACTAGGGCTCGGAACTTAATGCACTTAAAAAATACTATAAATGCATGCACTTATGCGCTTAAAAAAGTACAAATATGCTCTAAAAATATGCATTTATATTTTATTTTTGTACACAAAATTTTCATTTGCACAAATATTTTATAAAATTATAAATATAGAAAAAGCAAAGTAATAAAAATAATTTTGATTTTAAAAAAAAAAATAATAATAATAAAATAGCATTAAAAATGTTTCTTGAATAAAATAAAATGCACTAGTAGAATGTTCAATAATCATTATTTCCTAGAAAAATAGTTATAGAAAATCATTGTATTTCGATAGCAGCTGCTCCTATTTGATATTTTTATAATATTTTATTTTAGATGAAGCTAGCAGTAATTATAATTTATAAATATATGTATATTATATAAACCAATAGGAGAAAAACATTGTTTTTAATGTCAAATGGAAATTTGAAAAATACAATACAAGAATATTAAGAAAGTTCTCTCAATATGAATGAATTTTTTATTTTTTTGAATTTTCATTCTGAATCTTCAAAAATCATAAAATATGCTCTAAGAAATTGTAAAGTTAAGAAATATGCTATAAAATCTAAAAATCACTAAATATGCAAAAATATGCACTATAAATTTTTGATATGGTTTTCGTAGTGTCTTGGAACGAATTTCTAGCTCACTTAGCAATAAATCCAATCATGCAAAAAAAACATGCAAATGCAACAACTTCCGAGCCCTAGAGATGACAAATAATAGTAAAACGATTCTATAACATGATAAGATTATGTAGATATGATAAATAATATTGTTAAGTATAAAATATATGAAATCAATGGTTATGATTTCATATTGGAAATAATAACAACTAACTGGATATTTTAAATAAATTTTTTTATAGTTAATTTAAAAAAAAATATCAAAATATTTCAAAATATTAAAGTAATATATATACAATTTTAAGTATGCACTCCTGTTTATTGCTGTGTAGAAGTGGTATCACAATACTTCAAAATTAATAGTAAAAATAGTTTTTGGTAATTGAAAAATAATAATAGTAATAGTTTTTTTTTTTTATGAAATTATTTACTTATTAAAAAAAATTGTGAACATTTTTTAAATTACATGGAATTACAAGAAGTTGAAACTGAATTTGAGGGTGGTGTTAAAGGTAAAGGAGCAACTGAATGTGGTGGTGGTGTCAATGGCAATGTTACAATTGACTGAGAGGGCGGTGTTAATGGTAAGACAATAATTGATTGTGAAGGTGGTGTTAGTGGTAAATTTATATTTGAACATGATGGTGGTGTTAATGGTAAAACTATAGATGAATTTGAGGGCGGTGTTAACGGCAAAGAAATAGTTCTAACCGCTGGTGTAGTTGAAACATTATTTGCGTTTGAATGTGAAGTTGTGTTTGATGTTGATGATCTAGTTGATGATGAAGATCTGGCTGATGATGAAGGTCTGGTTGATGACGAAGGTCTGGTTGATGATGATGGTCTGACTGAAGTTGAAGATTTGGTTGAAAATGAAGGTTTAGTTGATGGTGAATGTTTTGTTGATGCAACTTTTTCTTGACTTCCATCCTTAAATGATTTATTTTTTTTTATATCAATTAAATTTAATGGTGGTTTAAAACATCTAATTCTACCACCAAACCGAAGTTGACCTGATTGTTTATGGCCTCCAAAACCACCACCTAAATAATATTTCAAATGGATTAGGACAAATGTTTAATTTTTCATTGAAATAATTTATTCAATTAATAATCATAATTATTAGTATACCTAATCTACGAGGTTTCCATCCAGGTAATAAGCGCCCACACTCAAAGTCTACAAATACCTCTGAACTATTTAATACTAGAGATTTACAGCGTACATAAGCATTTAATGCCATTTTAAATGTTTCAAACTCAATAAATGCATATTTTTTGCTTAATCCTGTTATAATATCTCTAACCAATCTTAAAGCTTTCATTTTACCATAGCGACAAAATTCCTAAAGAAAAATTAAAAAAAAAAAATTATTAGTTAAAATATTGCTAGTTAATATTGATATTAACTATAGATAATTTATATTTAATATAATTTATATTAGATAATTTATTAACTATAATAATTTTATACTCATCATTTGATATAATGTACTATACTTTACCTTGGAATAATATAAAAAAATTGATCTATGCTCTAAAGCAGTAGGCAACAATATTTTTATAAATGTGAATCAGTAATTTAAAGTGTAATTTATGTAAAAATTCTGATAATCACCTAACATTTATTTCAAGTATTCGTATTGATAAATTAAATAATAAGATTATAAATAAATATATACAGTATGATTATTTTTAAAAGTATCACTAAATAATTCTGTCCAGTGACACCGGATTGATATGCGGTTATCAGGAGAAGATAGGGAATGCCTAAATAGATATTTTTCGATATTTTTCAAAATTTAACCCTTTTACTGTGCGCATGCGCAACACAAGTTGCATTTTTTTTAAATAGCAACACAACACCTACTTTAAATAACAGATTTAGATAGACCAATATTTTTTAAGTCAATTTGGTCCTTTTTATCATAGCTTAAAACCAAAATTGACTAAATGATGAGTTTCAATTAAAACTATTGAATTTTTCAACAATCATCCTAGAATTTTATAATTAAGCAATTTTAAGTATTTATTTTTGTATTTGTAGGTTTGGAAACATTATTTGTATTTAATTTGAGAAATTAATTATCTTAAATTATGCCTTTGACGTACATTTTAGTTAATTTACTAAGAAAAATTAAACAAATTAACACAATTTTTATCATTTTAATAATTTTGATTATTAATTGGGTAAAACAGTTTTTAATAACTATCTAATAAATTGTTCAAAATTTAGTTCATCATTCTCCATGCATGTTTGAAATTGACGCATTACTCTCTTAACAGTATAATTAATAAACAAAATAACTGGTAATGGGCTTATCATAATTCTTATTGGACCACTGATAAAAATCACCAAACAGTTTAGAGAAGTAACATTAGATGTGGGTTACTCGATGGGAAATTTCTCAACATTTTTTTTTTTATGATGGTACGCTTACTGGCATAAGATATTTGGAGTTTCTAACTGATATTTTACCTACATACAAAGATGATGTACAATTAGGGACTAGAAACAATGTATTTTTTCAACAAGATAAAACACCTGTACATAATACAATTGTTGTAAGAGAACATTAATAAAATAAATTTGGCAATCAATGGATGGATACAGATGGAGCAGTAGCTTAGTCACCAATATTTCCAGATCTTATGCCATTAGATTTTTTTTTTCTGTAGGGACATTTGAAAAATGTAGTGTATACAATTCCACCTTTAAATGTTCAAGATTTAAAAAAAAAAAAAAGTTGTAAATGCTTGAGCAGAACTTCAAAAGGAATAGATATTAGCAGATACTTAAAGAGAAGTAATATGTCTATCTAGATCTGTTATTAAAATTAGCGTAATGCAAAAAAAAATGCGCACTATAAAAGTGATAAAAATTTGAAAAATGTGTATTTAGGTATTTTCTATTCTCTCCTGAAAACCACATTTCAATCTAATGTCATTGGACACAATTATTAAATTTTACTTTTAAAAGGAATCAAACTGTATATATATAAATATATATATATATATATATATCATATTGTTTACTGAAATGTTCATAATAGTATATGAATGTAGTAATTTATATTTAAAACATGAAAAACCAAAATATTTTCTCATTTATAAAACAGAAGAGTTGATGGTAATCTAAATTTTAAATCCATGTAGAATTACAATATTATAATAATAGTGATTATAATTAAAAAATAATTTTTATATCAACTATTATTCTTACTTTTTCTAAATCTTTTTCTGTTGTGTCCAAGCTGAGTCTACCGACAAATATTGTATTTAGAGGATTTCCTTTTGCCTTGTAACTAGGTTTGTACTTAGAATTTACAGCTCTAACAATACCAGCATCATGTGGTTCGATATCAGTGCCATCTATACTGCCAGCTTTTATTGGATCATAAACTATTGTTTTTGGATACCAGCATTTTACTTCAGGTACTTCTCTGTCACATCCTTTATAATAGAACGACATTTCCTCATTACAAGCAACAACGTATTTTTTGAAAGAAACTGTAACATAAAAAAATAATATTTGTGTATTTAATTTGAATTTCTACAAAATAATCAAACATTAAGCAACTAAATATTGGCACAAATTCATTGTATTGTTACGTAGGACAAAAAAAAAATCATGATAAGAAATAAACACCAATAAAAGGATATTATGTAACACATATTGTAAATGGTGTCAGACAAAAAACAAAAGTCAAACATGCGTCAAAGTTACGGCACATGGTCACCAACTCTACGTACAGATACATAGTTTTTTCTAAATCTTAGCGATCAACGGTAACGGAACATTATCACGCTTGCGACAAAACAACAGTCTCGATTCATCTACATGCACTACCTGTGGGTTCATCGTGTTTGAATCGTTTTCTTTTTTACTCCGGAGCCAAAAACAATAGACGTCCAACGGTCGAAACGGAAATCGAACGCCACGACCATTTTAATATTATTCGACTGCGCGTCCGCGCGAAACTAACAGTTCTTCTTACCTATTAATCGAGTTGTGTCTGGAAACAACGACGATAATCGGTCATGTAATATGCTTCGGGAAACTGTGAACGGACTGAAAACACGAAGCGTTGGACCCCAGAAACTTATCGTTTCGCATCGTTATCGGCGTGCTATCACACTCCGATTGATAGCGGGAGAAACACCGTTATTGATAACAACCAGAAATTGCGCGATTCCGGTGATGGATAATAATCGAAAAATGAAAATACTGACTAATATTTTAACAGGGTCGGGGTCAGATTAAGTAAAAAGGTCCAGTCCACGATTTGGAAAAATGGGCTCCTAACAGGCAAATGTTTTGATTTTCCCATAATAAGTTTTTTCGCTCGCAGTCCAATTTTCATGTACGTAATAAGTACAATTTTTTTTCAGTAAAATTGCCATCATGCATATTTATATTGCATGCCGTGATTCGGCATGTTTAATGGTTTTATTTTATTTTCAAAAGTTTTTCAGAAATGCTTAGGCATTTTCTGGCCCTAATTAAATTAAAAGTATTTTTTCAGTTGTAATACAAATGTTTTTAATTCATATTAATATTGAAGATATAAAAGGTAAAACAAATTAAACATGAGTAACATCTCAAATCAATAATCTTGATAGTTCTGTTGAATTATTAGCAAAAGTATTAACACCAATATGCTTATCAACAACAAAAGAAAAAGTAGCAGATTGTTGAGAAAAGAGATGAAAAATTCAGAATTTTCACAATATTCAGATGAACATACCATTAATAAATTTGATAGGTACAAGACCTAGACAGTGAGTATATATACATGAAGGATTTGTATTTTTCTTTAAATAAGACTGTAAGCCACTATAAACACCTTTCATATTAGATGCCCTATCAAAAGAGCTAACCTCTTGTAAAATTCAGTAAATTTTGTGCCAAAACAGTTATTTTGTTATATTACAATGAATTGTTTTATGTGTTGTGTAAGAAACGTCGGTTACTCAAATGGGCTTGTTCGGCATTTTGGAGGATAACTGACGGTGCCCGTTTGGACTGTACTCATTATAGTCGTCAGTCGTGCCTTGATGGGACATCAGCTAATAGAATCTCTATAGCATAAGCATTTTTTTACTTATTCATTGTATTATTCATGTCATAATTGTGTAACATTATTTTAATCTTAATACCAATAAATTTCCATGATTTATGTATACTTCATTGTATTAACTGAATGCAGCGTAGACATAGAGGTCACACTTCATTTGGTGGCAGCGATATAACTTTTCACTTAGTGAAATTGTTGATCAACTTTCATGCACTAATGCAGTGGCGTAGCCAGGATTTTTAAATGGGGGGGAGGGCTAACCACTTTTTTAGATAAGTCAGGTAAGAGAGGATATGAGAATTCACCCTTAACCCCCCCCCTACCATCTACCACCAAGTTTCTAAACGTAATTCAAGCATTTTAGTATAGTTTTAAAAATATTTATTAATATATAATTTATAATAATAATAATAATTTTGGTTTCAGTGTTCATTCACTTGCTCCACTCTGACAGCTGCATCCTCTTAGGTGAATTTCTGGCAAATTCAGTTATTATTTCACTTTTATTGAATTGCTCTTTTTTATTTATATTAGCCATAGCTAACCTATTCAGTCTGTTTTCCGACATGGTGCATCTTAAAAAATTTTTAAGCGATTAAGTGCTGAAAACGTTCTTTCCGGAGTGAAAGAGGTAATTGGTAACGTGTATAATTGGTAACGAATAATTGTAAAAATATTTTAATGTTAGATCGAAGATTGGTGCGATGAGAGAGTGAATCAAGAGCAGGATTCGGGTTTGGAATAGTATTTTTGCCTCCATATGAACAGGTCAGCTCTGATTGTAGATGAGGTATCATCATGGAGATCTTGGACATATATTTTAGCAGCTTTTATAATATTTTTATCGTCATACACATTTAAATTGGCCGGAATAAGTCCTTTAAGTGGCATAATATCAATAAGCCTTTGATTAAAACGAGCATCCATTGATTCTATTAAATAGTCAAGATACATTATACATATAAACACGGCCCATGGGGGGGCTATAGCCCCCTTAGCCCCTCCCCCTTGGCTACGCCACTGCACTAATGGTATTTGATAGAGAATATTGTTTTCAAAATAATTTAGGTTAGTGCATCATTAAAAATATTATTAAATTTATTTTTCTTGACTTCATTATGAATATCTTTTATTTTTACACAAATATAAATATGTTTATTTTCCAAAACATGTCTAACAAAATTAGAATGACATTAAACTAAATTCCAGAGATGTGTTCTTTGTATCCATCTATTAAGTATTTTAAATAGTAAATTAATGTAATGCATAATTCATATTATTAGTTATTACTACTGATTACTAACATATAATCAATGATATAATTTAACACCGATATCTATTGATTATTAAAATATATATATTTCATACTATGTTATGAACAAAGTTTTAGTGTATTTTTATGCATTGCTATATCACATTTTTAAAATTCTGCTTCCATTAATTAGTGTTATTGAGATTAAGGACTAAAGGCTCATTTACATGGTGACAGTAAACTTTGACAGTTGCAGTCATAGCAGTCACTGTCAAGGAACTGTCATAGTGTAAATTATTTGGTAGTAACTGTCACGGCACTAAGGCAGTACTATCGCATTTGCATAACAGTAGCTATCGTAGACTGTTAATCGTGTAAACACTGTTAACATACGTTTCTGTCATAGTGTTATCTATTATATGCACGTGTCCATTGGAATGCAATCGGTTAATTTAAAATTTAAATATCTTAAATTATAGTAAATAGTCATGTCCTCTAAGCTATTTTGCACTATAGAATTTCTTAAAAGCTATAAAGAACATCCATGTTTGTAGAACAAGGCCATACCAGATTTTCATAACCGATTGTACCGAAGTATTGGAGATTCCTAAGGCAGATCATCCTATCCATTTTCTTACCCATTCTCTTTCACTACTTTTAGCTACTTCTCCGGTAGGCTTCCTTAAAAATTATAAGACCTGGGCCCCTTACCAAATAGGTGCCCGTAGTTTCAGTTGAATTCAGTAATTTTATTATTTTTAACAATTTTAATAAAATAATTGAAAAGAAAAAATTATATAAAGGACAAATAATAAATTTCGTTGGTTATTTACTGATAATGCAATTTTTAGTATAGGTATTACTCGTATAACTACTAGCTTTGATCATATTTAAGTATTTTATAATCATACGTAATATCATTAATTATAAATACAATAATATATAAATATAATAGTATTTTTAATCAAAGATATTATGTATAAATGATGTATAATATGTATATAGGTATTATATTCATCGAAAACAAATAATTTTTATTTAGAATTCTAGTGAATTTTAATAAGAGCACTAGACATGACAAAGTGGCATGCGGGTACATGGTACGGAGCATCCGAGTTGGGTCCCGAGTACTAAGGTATAATCGTAAATAGTGTACTAGTTGGGTCTCAGATTTTTATAGGTACTACACTAGTTGTGTCCTGAATTATTTTAGGTATTACGCTAGTTCCTGAATATTTTTTAGTAAGTAAATAAAAATTAATAGAAAAAAAACTTAAAAACAAAAAAAAACAAACTATAAAAAACATTTTTAACCATAGCTGTGGTCTAAATATATCATAGACAGTCCTATGTCTATTAAAATGGGAAGAAAAATGTTAGTATAATAATATTATAGTACTTACCAAAAAATATTCAGGAAATAGTGTAGTACCTAAAATAATTCGGGACCCAACTAGAGTAATCTTTTTAAATTCGGGACCCAATTCGGATGCAGCTACATGGTATACCCTGACTGCAAGAGCTGATCTAAGGAGGGTTCAGGGGGTCAGCTGACCCACAGTTAATATTTGTTGAAAAAATTGGCCTCTTGGAAAATTTTTTCTCTTTTTAGATCTTGATTTGGACTCTTGGACAGTTGGCACATCGGAGTTACTTGAAAAATGAATACCATGTATATTCAAAATTTAAAATTTTTCAATTCATAATTTATATTTTAAATTATATCGTTTTAGTAGAAAGTTAAGTACGTTTGTTACGCTGATAAAATTAGATTATATTTATTAATCGTAAATAAGTCATTATCGGTGTTATCACTAATTCTAAAATGTAATATAAATATACTTATAGACTTTTATGAGCATATTGTGTTTTTTTTTTTTACAAGGTATTAATTTCTAATTCAGTTTCATCCCTAATAAATGGTCTCTTGAAATGACTTGACCCACAGTTCCCCGACTTTGGATCCGCCTCTGCCTGATTGTATTTGTTTATAAAAAATTTATTTATAAATTACTTGGATTACTTAATAATTATCAATGGTAATTTTAAATATTCTCAGGAAAATTATAGTAATAAAATGTGTACAAGAAAAAAATGTAATTTATGTTTATTATACAAAACAAATGTTATTTATGAGATCAATATATATTCTCTCGAGTAGGGGTGACGAACCTTATTTGGTTCAACTGCTAAATTTTTCCTTTTAAGGTTTTGAAAATCTTTCACGTGCCTAAAGAATATTATATTTTCTAAGAATAAAAATAAAAATACAGATTTATTATATTATTTTAATTTTATTTTAGTCATTCTTAGCGAAACACAAGCAGTAATTATTTCATTGGTCCAAACATTTCTTTCCTTTTTAATTAAATTAAATTAAATTTGTTATGGTAAATAAGCTTTCACAAACTAAAGTTGACGAAAAATATAGCATGAAAGCATAAGGAATATTGTAATTTTTAAAACATATATAATTTGTTTATTTGAATTTCTTACAAGAAACATTTTACAAATAGTATATATATATTTTTTTTGCATATAATTTTTAATAATTTAAATTTTTTGCGCCTGCCATAGGTTCGCCATTCCTGCTTTAGAGTATAATGGATTATTTGAAGTTAAAAAGTTTCTTTTAACAATTCCTCTTACTTAAGTAACGCGTGAACGATCATTTTCTAAACTTAAAATTATAAAAATACGTTTAAGAAGTTGTTTAACACAAGATAATTTGGAATCATTGTTTTTGATGAACTGTGAAAGGGAATTGTTGGCCAACTGACTTAATGAGTTAACAAAGTACAGAAATGTTAAGAATGTTGAAAGTTTGGTTTTTAAACATTTTACTGAACTATTTATATATTATTTTTAGTGTTGGCCAACGATATCGATAATTCGATACGATATCGATATCGTTGATATTTTCTTAATAATTTCGATACCGATATCTAAAAATAATTATCGAAAATATCACGATATCGGTGTGATTAATCGGGGCTCGGGATTTTACGAACGATTATATTATTTTCGGTATTTTTAATTAAATTGAGTAAACAGTATAGGTATAATAAAATTATATCTATAAAAGTATAAAGTAGATACTAAATTATGATATGATATGGTCCTATCCACATCAAACAATTTAATCTAAATTCAGTGCCGGTTAACTCGCAATGAGATGTCGTAATTATTTTATTTCGTACTTTATTTTATATATACATTAAATAAAATGAGTGAAAACTTTAAATTAGTACCGTTGTCTGGTGCTAGAAGTGATATATGGCAACATTTTGGATTTAAAGTTAATGAAAAGGGGATTATATCAAATAAAAATCAAGTTTTTTGTAAGAAGTGCAAATGTGCTGTTGGTTATAGTGGAAATACGACTAATCTCAAATCACATTTTCAACAATGTTCAAGTACAAAACCAAGTACGTCAAACAGTTTGATTCCATATTTTAAGCAAACTCCATCCAAATTATCAAACAAAACTAAACGAGCTAAGGAAATAACAAAAAGCCTGATGAAATTTGTTATTAAAGATTTAAGACCTTTGAGTATTATAGAAGGGAAAGGTTTTCTTGAATTTATGGAAATAGCCGTACCTAAGTATATTGTTCCTAGTAAACAAACAATAACTAGACTTTGATTAAATACATTGGATACTTTTCAATTAGTACAAAATAATTTATAATAGTTAATTAATTTACACTCATAATATATTAATATAATATGTATTTTATAGTTTTAATGTGCTTTCAATAAACTAAATTATATAAAATGTAACTTGTTGTTATGTTGTTATTTAAATCGATATCGATATCGATATTTTTCCGATATCGCGATACGATATCGGAAAAAAAAAACGATATCGATAATTAAAAATATATCGTTGGCCAACACTAATTATTTTACTTGTATTGAACTATTTTTAAGAACATAATATTCATATTATATAATTAATAAAACGTTTTAAAATGTATTTTTAATATTTAATTTACAATTTATTCAAGATTACTTAAATAAAAATAATTATTTTAATATTGTTGTGTCGGTATATATTTATTTTTATTGAACTTAAATCAAAATGTAGAATTGGTTTATTATTTAGGTTTATGGTTATTTTATAGTTTTGTGTAACAAAAGGGTAGACAACTTGGCTATTGTTATTGATAGGTATATATGAGACTCATTTCTATTGGTATTTATATTAAGTGAGTCCTAATTATATCTAGTTTTCCGGCAGGGAAAATGGACCCAGTACGCGCCTGAATACAGATAACTATAATAATATTGATTGTGTTTGTAATTAGTGTCAGGAAGCCACTCCAAGATTTATATGTTATTGTGTTAATATGTTATGTAACTACAATATGGAAATAAATTAAAATGAAGTAATAGATACATATTGTAAAAAAAAAAAAATGCTTTAAATTAAACCACTAATCAAAACTATTATGTATGTTGTAGTATAATCTTTGAAATTTTTAATAATCAATAAGTTATTGTATTTGAAAAACTGTTCTGAACAATATCCACCGGTGAAGATTTTTTTTTGTAAAATTTTAAATTCAAATCCTGATTAAAAAAATGTTGTACAGGAATTTGCAATATTTTTAAATTTATTTAAGGTAAATATGTATTAGAAAATACAATTGGGAAAAAAGTTATTTCAATCAAATAAACTTGGTCGTATGAATGTAGACCAAAATCAATATGGGGGCCATATAAATTATGAATGCAATAAATTATAATTTTAATTATAAGTATTTAATATTAATTATAACTGCACTGATTCATGGAAAACTTTTTTTTTTTTTATAGTAAATCACTACAAGGGGGGTCCGAACGGTTTTACATTGCTTAACTCCCATGCAGTATTGTTTATTGAGTAAAATTATAATCATATACAATACATACAAATTTGAGGTTTAGGTATATTGGTTAATTATTACTAGGGAATGGACTTTACTGTAATAGAAAAAAATCAATATATGTACCAATTTTTCTTAAAATATGGAATAAAGATATCCAAAATATGTAAATATCTAAAAAATATATTAGTATTATAAATTATATAAAAAAAAAAAAAATGTATCAATATTATATATTTAAATATTATGTAAAAGTAACACAAATGATGTAGGTATATAAAACAACGAGTATTATTCTGGAACAAAGCAATGAGCAACAACATATTGCTGAAGGTTTTCAAATAAAAAATTACAACGATTTGGTCGAAGAATTCTCTTGTATTGACCAAAAGATCGTTCCATATTATCTGATGCGATAGGGTCATAATTCATGTTTACTAAATCAGAAGGAGTGAATTTAATGTCCAGAGATCCTTGTTGATTTTTTCCAATTACAATATCTCTGATGATCATGCTAGATTAACACAATTTTCATATGTTTAGTTATGACAAAGTTTTAAATCAATATAAAATAAGATAAGGCTAAGACATTTACTTCTGTCTTATTTAGATACTTTTAAGATTTTAAACATTCATAAAATATAAATGTAATTAGTCATTATTGTTATAATTTAAAAATACCTACCTAATTATAGAATACAAATATTCTTTAGGTAAGATCTGTCCTTCATATCATCTCCTCAACTTTAATGTACTACTGCATGTGAAAGACGTTTAGTTCTATATTTTATATCATTACTAGGTATTAAAATGTGCTGACATAATATGTTACATACATTTTTTCTGTGTTCGTTATATTAATTTACCATCATTTCAATACCTAGTGTAATTCTGTGTACCATCTGTATTCTATGCGCTCTGACGTTTATACAATTCAAACCAAGATGACCTTGATTGAAACATAAAATATAAATACACATAGATATGGTAATAATAAGTTAGGAACATGAATCGATTTTATGTGGTATCTTATAACTAAATATTAAAAATCATAGATTTCATTTAATTATTTTAATTTAATTACAATAAAGTTATTACATATAAACAATACATTATTATAAATTATAAATAATAAATATAATGTAGGTAATTATAAATAAAATTATAAATACAAATTATTATAAAAATATTGTTTATTATCTATGCGTATTTTATGTAATGTTGAATTTATTTGCACAGATTTCTATGTAGGTAATATTATTGTGCAGAAGCCTACGCGTTTATGTTGCCTCTGCATAAGTGCGTTCGTCCATTTTTTCAATCGTATTTATGTAAAAATTTACTTATTGTTCAGTTTGCTCGAAAAAACTTTTTTCTTTATTACATTCATAAAACATATTGGTTATTTAATACATAAGTGTTATGAATAAAAGGAAACGTTCGACTAACTTCAGTAACACTGAAAAAGAACTTTTATTAAAAATTGTGCTTCCCAGGCTAACAGTGTTGGAAAATAAAACGTCCAATGCTGTTACCTGGAAACACAAAGAGAATGCTTGGAAAGAAATTACCGACCAATTTAATAGTCAGACACTGGAATCTGTAAGTATTTGAATCCAACACATTCTTACACGGTTGGTATTTTGTGCTTAATTTTATTTTTACTGGGATAGCCAAGAAGTACAATATGTTTGAATCAAAAATATGATAACATAAAAAAAAAAATAAGAATTACTAAAACTCAACTTATAAATACTGGTGATTCTCAACATTACAAACATTTAACAGAACTTGAATTGGAACTATTATATGCCATCCAAGTGCCTAATGAAGAAATTAAAATTGATTTCAGTACTAATACTAGTAAGTAAACTTAACTAATTTATATCAATGCGTACATTGGATATATACTGTATATTTAACATTTAACAGAACTTGATTCGGAACTATTTAATGCCATCAAAGTACCTGATAAAGAAATTAAATTTGATTCCAGTGCTGATATTAGTAAGTAAATTTAACTAATTTATATCAATGCGTACATTGGACATAATATCTCAAAATATATATATATATATATATATATATATTATATACTGTATAGATAGATAATTGATTTAACTGAATTAAAAATCCAATGTACATAAGTTAACCCATCCATTCTAAGTAAAAATGTTTGCATTTACTACTAGGCCTGTTTACTAGTACAAATAATTTATGTAGTTATTTTAATGATATCATAAGTCATTATCAGGCATTTTTTGAAAAAAATTAAAAATACATATGTGATAGGTTAATGGTTGTAATAGGCAATTTTTTTCTATTGTTTTAATTTTTAATTTTTTCTAGAACAAGCATTAAATAGAAACTTAAATAAATACGATGCATCAACCAGTGACAATATTTCAAATTTGAAAACAGAAAAAAGAAAGTTGTTGCATTTGCAAAAAAAATTGGTCAATCAGGAACTTGAACAAAGCAGAGAACTACACAGATTAAAAATTAAGCATTTAAATGAAGAACATAAACTGCGAATGATGACTATTTAATATGAACCTAATATTTGAAAAAAAAAAAATTACTTTTATCATAATAGTTAGGTTTTTTAGTTGCATAATGAAATAAAAACTATTTAATACAACTGATTAAATTCAATATATGAAAATTATTTAAATATAAATTGAATATATTCATTTTACCATAATTTTTTTTATTTTTATTAGGTAGTAATTGCTATTCTTTTCTTGTTTTTGAAAAAAAAAGTAGTTATTTAGTACCATTAAAAATGTGAGAATCAATTAGACACGCAATAACTAATCATCCATCATTATTTTGCCGATTTTTTTTAATATGTGTTCTACTTAATGTGTAAATGGATTCATAACTCATCAATTATAACTCTATAAGATATACATTTCTACACAATGAAATATGCAATCTAGGAACCTGAATATATTGAGTAACAAACAAAAGGTTTACTCACAAACTACACATTATATAAATGAAACAATTTCAGTAGAAAAGATACCAACAAACTTAGAATTTAGAGTGCATATCTTTGAATAAGGACAAACATAGAAGGTTAAATATCATACAATATAAATAAATACAATAAAGTAAAATCATAAAATAGTAGTAATGTCAAATATATTCCTCATAATGAATCGTTTTTAAAATAAAATACTAAAAAAAGAAAATTATCAAGAAAAAAAATATAATATAATAATAATAATAGAAAAAAATAATAAATGAACAATCACGTTGTATAATTAATACTACAATTACATACAGAAATTGACACATTTTCAATATTGATTTTACAAAAAAGAAAAAATGTATACATAAATAATAAGCATTATATAAACAAAAATTTATACCAAACAATTTAAGAAAGTAGAATTATATGTAGATACTCATATATATCTTAATTGTTGTGTATACAAAATCACATTGTTCTTTTTTCTACGTTAACACAAGAGCAAAGACTATGAACACTGGAAAATAAAGTACTTAAGAAATAATATTGTTTTATAATTAAATAACACACGTATGTCAAGATAACAACACTATTATAAAAAGTTGCATGAAGAACGAAGATGTGATAATTTCATCATTGTGTGATGATTTATTACTATGATTGATCAAAAAATGTAATAAGACCGAACATAGAATAATGGGGAAATAATGATAGTTTATCAGTAAACTAGTCAGCCTTTTGATTAGAAATTTTTAACTAGTTGTAGAAATTAACTTAAATAAGCATGTCAATTAATAAATAATAAAATGTTATAACTGTTTATAATATATTAATACACCATTATAGACAAGTTATTTTGATCAAATATATATATATATTTTACTGTCATGATAATATTCTTTCTGATCACTTAAATAATTTATATATAATGGTTGACAATAAAAAAAATGATGTTGGAAACTAGAAGTTATAAAAATACATACTTAGCAAGAAATGTTTTCAGAATAATACTAACAATTGAGATGAAAAATTTGTACAAAAAAAAAAAAAAATTGTGGGTACATAATACTTTCAAATAATGAATTACTGAAAAATAAAATAAAGTTACAGTAAAGTAAATAAAAATGATGAAATTAGTTTCATAAAGGATGTGTTATAAAGATAATGTAACACAATAAGATTTTCTTAAACTAGCAATGCATTAAAAATTAAAATTATTTACATTAAACAATAAAAAATTTTAACGAAAATTTGTACTTCGCTATATGAAGCTTGAATGCAACGTATACAATAAAAAAATTAAAAAAAAAAGAGATATTTAAGAAAACAGTTGATGGATAAGTAACATATAAAAATGATTTATACATAAACAATAAATAAAAAAAAAAACAGAAAACCATAAGATTTTTTTGAAGTATGAAAAAGCAGGTTAACTAATCAGCCTTAAAAAAAAAAAAACAAATATTAATTCACTTCTTAGAAACAATTTAAGTTTTTTAAAAAATATAATAATAATAATAGTAATAAAAAAATGTAATTTTTATTGCATACCTTATCATACTTATGCAGTCTTAATATAAAATATTAGGATAAATGGATTAAAATATATTTTGTTTTTGTTTCAAGTTGTAAACATATGTCAGAATAGAATTTTAAACCAAATTAAAGCTGGGCAACCAAGACTGAATGAGCATTTTAAAATATCAATCACTTTATCTTATGAACAATTTTATGTTACGAATAATATTAAAATTTATAATCACAGGTTAATAAAATACAACTTCAAAAACATATAAGTAGTTTATATCAAATAATTACACATTATTTCATGTGTTTAAAAAAAAAAAAAAAAGAAAAGTAAGAATTTTTTTTTAATCAATTATAGATCGATAGTAAATCTCATGTCATTTTCCAAATGTTATGAAAGTATTATTAGTTATTGAATTTTAAGTATGTATTCACAAATTTAATAGTAACATTTTACATTGACATTATATAAAAATATATACTATTATTTGAATTACAAAAGCTAGAATAAAATAATAAGACAGACAAATGTTATGATTACTCACTAGCAAACATAAGGTTCAAGTATAAATAACTAATACATATAAGAATCGTCTAGATTTTAAAAATAAATTAAAAGTACCATTTAATGTGGTAATAAACCATTAAGAATAAATAAATGTTGACGAGTCCATTGAAAGTGTCAAATAAAAATGTATATGTGTATATAATTAATATTTACGAAGAAAAAAATTTGGTCTATTAGACTTTTACAATAAATCAAGAAAAAAATTTTTAAAAAAAAAACATTATGAAAATGATAAATCATCATTTCAGTCAACATTACATTTAATTCAATGACAAAGATTGAGAGTAAAAAAATCAGTCCAGGATATATTAAAAATAAATATGAAAATGCTATATAGAAAACAGAAATAGATAAGTTGCACGCGTGCCATGTATGGTTTTTATTTTGTTTCGCGTTAAGAGAGTTGGCGTAATGCCCTCAAAAAATATGGATCAATGTGAATCTATATTCGTTTTAGTAATTTTATAAATTTTAAATTAAAATAAGAATAAAAAATAAATATTGAATCCTGGACTAAAATATTAACATAATAATTATGTACGTTTTAGACAGAACATAGAAAGTTAAGTCGGAGGAGCAACATTGATCAGTTTTTCTTGTTACGTTTCAAATAAGAATCAGCATAGTGGCCGCCAAGTCCTTGCGAGTGTTGGCCAATATACATGCCTTCAGGACTAAGTTCAGGCGACGGAGGAATGCCTCTTTTTTGACCACGGGACACTTCTTGTTGACCGGGCAATGGAGATGTGGCCGTAGTAGGCGTCCAGATATTTGGAGCCAATGGAGAATACAAAGACTGTGGTGACGGAGTAGAAGAGATGCTTTGCATAGAAGACCATGTGGATGACGGTGAGTAACTTACAGCTTTTTCCGGTGCGGCAATGGGACTAGCTAGGTATGAATCAGTAGTCGAAGTCTGAGTATTTTTTGGCCAAGGTTGATCCAAATTTAGAGACAATGATGAACCAAATGGATAAGTAGGTGTAGTTGGAGTTGGTGTAGCCGGTGGAGTAGTAGTATTAACACCTCCATAAATATTAATAACAACGTTTTGTTGTTGATTAATATTATGTTGTTGTTGTTGCTGTTGAGCTATTTGCTGCCCAATTTGTTGCTGAGCTATCTGTTGAGCTAATTGCTGGCCAATACTTTGTAAATTTTGGTTTTGGTACACTTTTTGAACGGCATCAATTTGATTCAGAGTATTGTTGTTATTCGCAGTTTGTTGTACATTGTCAACGAAATTTGAATTTAGATTGGCATTTAAACCTCCAAATCCATTAGATTTTTGTGTTCCAGCCAAAATTTGAGCAGTTAACAGTTCTCTATAATAGTTAGCCACTAATGGGTTTGTCAAATCTCCATCAAACAACCCAGTAGCCAAATGAGGAGGGACTTCTCCTACAGGTGGACTAGGCAATAATCTTGTTCCAAATGTCTTAAGTGATAAACAAAAAATAAATAAGTTATTAATTTGTTAGATGAAAAGTACATTAATAGTGATGAATATTTTTTAAGACAAAAAGTAATCATACCTCTGAAGTAGCGCCCATGAAAGGTATACTAGTTGGAGAATGCAACATAGTTGGTGGTACTTTATTGTTTAATAAATGTGACCTCAGTGTTGCTATAAATATTTTTAATGAACATTATTAAAAAAAAAGTATAAGTATAAAATAATGGATTCATTTAGTTAACTTACAATCAGAAAAATCTTGAGCTTCAGGGCCCATCTGAGTTGCTTTAATTTGATTAAAAATAATGTTTTGTAAATTTTGTGCAACTATAATAAAAAACATTATTTTAAAAATAAATTACGAATCAAAAAAAGATAATTGCTTACAAATAGGATTTTGTTTTGAAAGATTCTGTAACGACTGCTCGATAACTTCTTGAGGAGGGTCTGGCAATAGTCCGCCGCATTTAGATTTACTCTATTTAAATAACAAACAATGATTCATGAAATATATATTAAATGGATAGCTAGAATATTTCACATTATTACCTGTTCGTTTAATAGTTTTAAAAACAAATTTATAGCTCTAACTCCGGGTATATAATAAGTAATGCGAATATTATGGCCTCTCAATGTGTGTCCATTCAATTCTGTTTGTGCTCGTTCGGCATCTTCAGCTGTATTATACTCGACTAGGCCCCAGTCCAACGGGCATCCATTTTTCAACGCAATCTAAACATAGCAGAACAAAGAAAAACCCATTATACCGTGAAAATAATAACAACTAAGTACAATATAGTCTGTGGTTGTGTACTAACTTGACAATACGGTGGATTAACAACTTTAGCAAATATTTTTCGGAATTCGCTCATGTCTCTGAATGATTTCGGCAAATTGTCAACGTACAAGCATTTGGAATGGAGTGAATCGTACGTGATATGACTGCCGTCCAACCAATCGCAAACAAGTGTAGAGTCATCGATTACCTTACCATCCAAACCGCATTTGGCTGTGATCGCGCACTCTTTGTTCAAATACTCGACAAATCCGTATCCCTTGCTCTCGCCGGTTTTCTCGCTGATTATCAAGAATGTCTTGCGGATCTCACCGTACATCTGCACCAGCCGGGTGAACTGGTCTTCTGTATAGCTGAACGGCAGACCGGCCACACACAAGAGCATTTCAGTGGGTGTCGGTGACACAGGTATACGTTGACCGCGAAGCATGAATTGCTTGTTGAAGTCCCACTCCTCCATTCTTAGTTCAGGATCCTCAAGTGTGACACGTGCCATGCTGCTGCCCGATGTCGTACTGATGTGTATACTCTCGACCGGGAACTCAATTAAAAGTTTTCTGATTTCCTGTAATGATGAAATGTCGAGTAAAATTACAGATTTGAAAATAGTTGAACATATATGATAATAGTTATAGTTCTTAGATTATTGTTTTTAACATTTATAATAAGTCAAGAAATGTAAAACGAAGCAAAAGTTGTACGACGAACTTTAATATGAAATTAGTTACCTATTTAAAAATCGATACCAACAAAAATAAATAAATTTGAGTATTAAAAGTAATTTTGAGAAAGGCGTATTCATTATTTTGAAAATAAAATAAGTGTTATTTAAATTATATTTTTAGATGATTTATTTTGAAATAATATTTAATTGTATTAATAGTATTGCCAGCCATGTGAATTCAGTCAAATTTTAAATGTTTAAAAAATAATCATTGTTTATTGACATTTAAGAATAAACATTTGTACGAATATTTAAATCTTTACAAAATAACATATGGTGCTCTATATTTCCATGGTATAAAAATTTCAAATATTTAACACGCGAACGGGTAAACTGCACTTCCGGTGACTGTCATGCTTCACTAATTTTTTGTTCAGTGTAGTTAAACGTTACACGGGACTGACTATTTACCCTAACGCATTGATTCGTTTAGCTATGCACAAACCTAAAATATTTATTTCAAGTTTTATTCACAATGAATTTAAAAAATAAAACAATATATTATTTAACGTAGATTATATGTAAACTCCATAGAAATATTTAACATAGAAAAACGACTAAACAAAGATTATTAAAGAAGACATTTTATACTTGATAGCTCTACCACCGTATGCAATTTATCAATCTATAATTCTATACAAGTATAGAGCAATAAATAAATTATAATACATATTTATTAAACGATAGTAATTTTAAACAATTTTTTTTTAAACTACATCAATTTAAATATTCAATCGAATACGAAAAAATTTGCACCATTAACAACAAAGTGCATTTAATTAAATAATTGTTAAATAATGTTTAAAATAATTAAAAAAATAACAAAACAATTTAATCAATAACTAATAAATCTATTTTTACATTACTTTAAAAATGTTATTAAATGGAAAGTATAATAAACACTATAAGAAAAAACAAATAATCAAAAATAATAATAGCAAATATGAGAAAATAGAAAAAGAAAATATTTAAAATTATGCAAAAATAACTAGGTGAACAATGATAATGTCACTGAAAAAAATAAATATTGTATTGAACAAATTTTTCTAATAGTTCAGTGGTTAGTTTAACAAATTAAACTTCACAATCATCAATAATTAAACTATTGATTAAAAAGTTTAAAAATTTGAACATAAAATGTTACTTATGATATAAAAGAATGTGTAGTTGGAAAACAACTAAACGTTATATATATATAGAGTATTTCAAATAAAAATATATTTCCAATGTATATCATCATCAGTTAATTAAAACAAATTACAGACTACTAAAAATTTCTTATCACGATTATGGAAAATAGTGAACTCATAAATTTACAATCAAATTATATTTACTTATAAGATACATAAACGGATTTAGGAAAAACCTAAGTTCTATCGAATATTTGTGAAAACTTGCATCATATCTTAAAATTTATAAAAATGACAGACCTATGTAAATAAAATGAGTCAAGTGATTTAATGGAAATTTTATCTGCCACAGTAAATGAATATAATTAAATGGAAATATGTGCACTTTATAAAAAATATACGTGAAAAATAATTATTGTAGTAGATTTACTTACGTAAGGTAAAATTAACTTAATAACGCGTGCCAACATATTTACCACTTAGTAAAATGAATTAAGATGAAAAAAAATATTGGGATCTACTAAGTCACTATTATACGTTTTTCGAAAATTTAAAAATAAAATATATTCCTCAATTCACTCACGCAGAATCTAATAATATCATAATTTTTCATCATGAAAAATAACAAATATACTATAGGGATAAACACTCATTTCTCCTTTAATAATTTGCATAAAATTGATTGGTAATAAATATATGACAAATAGGTCAAGTTAAATATAATACGTTGGTTTAAACATTTATAATAATATTTAATTTGAGTAGTATTTTGATTATTTTTTTATTTATTTTAATTTCAGCTTGAACTTAAATGTTTGAATTATTCATAAAATCAAAGCTATATGTTTTATTTGAGCGTAATCATAAAGAGTATAAATTAGATTTCATAATATTTGATAATGAAATGAATTCGTTTTTAGTATTAAGCCTTTTACGAAAATACGTTTCTACAATTCTAGAGTCACTATCACTCAGAACGTTGAAAAAACGAAATACTTGTCTTCTATACGTCATATATAATCTAATAACGATTATTTTATGTTGTGCGGATTCCAATTACTTTGAGCTCGGGAGCAAAAACAATTTCGCATACCTAGTCAATAATATACATTTAACTGGTAATGTGCATGATAGGCTATCGAAAAAGTAATTTATTCTATAGATTTTATATTTGTAAGCCACGTTATTTATCTTTAGGGGGAAAAACGCAGAATTTTTTATTCAATTGCATCATGCCTGTATATTTCATCTTGAGTCATAAAAAATGATTAAGAAGAAGTAGAACAACTGGCGGGAATCCAATAATTATATGCCTTCTTTTTTTTTTTAAACATCTATGATTATATTTTCGTTTTTAAAAGAATAACCATAGTATAGTAGTCCAAGAAATTCGGCAATGGTAAAATTCTAGATCGGGCACCAATATTAAATAGGTAGAGGAGCACTATCGCGCTGTTAAAGGGCATAACGTATGTAATACATATGGTAGTACAGACGGTTTTTTGAGTAACAAGTATGATGGCAAAGAAATTCAGAGATAAGAATCAATAAAAAAACCAAAAAACCGTAAAAAACACATAAGCGCTTGTAAATTTAATTGGTTACGTTTGCATACAACATTTTAAAAAACAAAATTAAGGAAATGATACATATATACCGATGGTACTTGATTATTTTAATATAACTGCGTCTAATAAGATAGCCAAATCATATTTAATAGCTATACAAGAGGCAATATTAGAGAAAAAAAATTGACGAAAAAATAAATGAACAGTAATTGCCCTAATCAAACGGATTGATAAGAATGATTTAAACTCAAAAAATATATTTAAATTTCAAACCGTTGACTATCGTCGATGGCGACCAAGAATTTGATTAAAACAAAACACGAACAATGTTGTTATCATTGTGTCGACACAAAAAATAAATTATATTCACACTTCCTACTTGTGTATAAACTACTACCTACTTGTGTATATATTGTAACGAATATTATTAAAGTATCTATAATACAGAGACTCATGATGTAACATCCAAACAGGTTAACGGTAGCATCAAAACACAAACAATGTAAAAGAATCAAATATTAAACTAATTTTTACCATACCTGGACAACGATAAGTTTGAATATAATGCTATTTAAACTCCGCACAATCAATAACGTTGAGCTAAATAATGTCTATAAATATAATACCGGTTGATAATAATAACAAATCGAAATGAACAACGATTCTCTTTGTGAGCACGAAACAAAACTATCATTAAATTCGGACTACGCCAATTTAATTGGTTTTAAAATAAAATCGAATTGTCGAATTCATTGCTAATATTAATAAAATATTGGCTGTTGATAAAGAGAAAAAATAAAGTCAATTACAATGGATAATCAAAAATCTTTTTGACATTTATCATGGATTTATTTTATACTGTTCGAATAAAGCACTTATATATCTAACAGTATAATGACAGTCGATTAATTATTTAAGTAGACCTTTCATTTACAGAACACGAATAAAATACATAAAGGTTAAAAACAAAATAAAAAATGATAATAGATAGTAATTTTTAACCTTTAATAAACCGAAGTTAAATGATTTTAATTAAAATTCGTGGTTAGTACTTATTTATGGTTTTATTAATGTAGATAGGCAAATAATAATTTTGATTTATATATTGTGTTGGATAGAAATATCTTCATAAAATTAATACCATATTGTGGTTTGAGCATGTCAGTTTGTAGGGTTTTTGTTTATATTGAAGTTATTGCAAATATTGGCATAACCAGTGAATAGATGAATACATTTTCTTTTTAATTTTGTATAGTGTTTACAATGTAGACTCTACACAATACATTTACAAATTATATTAAGTCCAGAACTACGTAACAGTATTTATAATACAGAAACGTTTAAAAAACTGACAAGTTTATTCCTCGATCAATTTCACGAAGAATTAATAAATACAATTTTTTTTATCAACAAAACTATTTAAAGGACTTAATATATTTTAAAATTAGTAACTAATTAACTTATATATTTAAATATTAGTCAAATTGTACTTATTTTTAATATTTACTAACTAGAGAAATACGTGTAATTCATATATATAAGTGATATAAAATCAATGTTCACCACGAATATTTTTAAATAACCCAGGAGTTATTCTTATAAATAATGTACGAACCATTGATGGGAATTATTCAATCATTCAAATATCAGTATTCGATGCTACAATACAATACGTTACAAAAATTATTCGTTTAAGTTTTCGCGTAACACAAAACGTTTAATAATAAAAGGTATAGTAGCATCGAGTATTCGAATAATTAAATTATTTAAATATATATTACATCTCAAGTACGAACATATCTGTTTAGTTTTATTTCTTCAAATAATTATGTTTTTCTGGTATGGCAAACAAAAATTAGCACATTTATGCGAAAAATAGTATACACATTAAGATTAAAGTTTAAATTTAGGAAAATCAATAAATGTGTTTTAAAATATTGTACAACCTTTACAAAAATATTTAATTTTACAAACACTTTTAGACTGAGAAAACAATTTTATAAGTCACAGAATATTTGTGTTTTTATAAAATATATTTAATTTATTATAATCGAATAATAAATTATTTTAAAGTTGATTTTCAGGAAAAATATTCTGTATATGGTGTCCTTAAATTAAAATCTCTTATTATGAACCGTGTAAA